GATGGAGGCGATGGTAGAGCAACACGTTGGAGATGACAGGGGTGTAGAGGGCAGCACGGATCACTCTCAGCAGAACTCCCATGGGAGAGAAGCTGGGGTTTTCCAGGACTATGTAATGCGGCTCCACCCTGGCTGGTTTTTCCAGGAGTACCCCCTCCTCTTTAAAATGGGCCACTTGGAACCGGGAGATGTCCACATGACCCCCTGTTAAAGAAAGGATTTGAAGGTGAGGATTTAAGGCTGTCACTGAGTCAGGCTTGGCCGGCACAATGGGGACATAGGGTGTAGGCTCAGAGACCTTCCTGAGGTCCCAGCAGGGTAGGCAGCATGCCTGGCTCTAGGGCCTTTGAGGGCTTCTGGCTATCGTGTCTGTAGAGTGTGATCATCACAGGAACCCCATCAAGTCAAATCTATACACAGCCGTTGGTCCTGAAGCCCAGAATGACACTGATCCCATGGTGACCTATTCTGGTGTGGATTCTGTATCTAGGAGGGACATTGGTGACCCTGGCAGTTTTGACTCCAGGCAGGTAGAGAACAAGGAGGAGGCAGGGACAGTGGGGACATGGAGTGTCCATAGGCAGCGTACATTTGCTAAGTGTGTGGCTACCCACCAATCACATTCTTCATTTTTTGGGAAGAACCTCATCCTTCATCATTGTGTGGGTCTTGGCAGGAGACAAGCTGGGCCTCCCACTTGGGAAGCTGCTGCTGTCTGGCAGCTATGACACAGATGTTTGACCAAGAGATGACTAAGTGGATGCTTCTAACCAAGACCTTGATCTAAAGGTGGTGAAACACAGATGAAAAGACAGAGATTCTTGTGGCAGGAGCAATGGTGTCAAGGGTCCAACAGCCACCATGGCAGGAGGGTTCTGCAGTGGCTCTGTCGGCAGTAGAGGTCTCTCCATATTTTTCTTTTGGGACCTTGGCTGTGTTCTTGGTTTCTCGGCATTCTTCTGTCACTGTCTTTTTTCTTCTTTCTTTGACTTGTTGTCTATTCATTTGTTAAGTCTAAGAGCTACTCAATAATGTTCCTATACATTCTTTTCTGCCCAAATCAGCCAGAATTGGTTTCCTTGATTGCAGCCAAGAACACTCGCCAGCACACCAGGTGTGGATGTTGACACCACAAGAGAGATCTTGAGAAATGAATGCTGATAGTGTGAGAGGCACTCGCCTAGAGATCAGGAGTCCTGGCTTCCATCCCTGAGTTGTCTGCCAACTGCTGCAATGCAGGTGCTTTCCGGGCAACAGAAGGACATTCAGCAAGGTGGACAAAGCCCTTCGATGTGCATGGGCACCAATCAGAACACTACTGGCTGATGTTAGTCTCAAGAGAGGCATGGAGACCACTGTATAAGTTTTCTCATTAATTAACTGCTTTTCTTGTGTGAAAAATATCACTGTGGTGTACAAAACCTGAAAAAATGCAGAAGAATAAACCTCTTATCTCAACAAAGAGTACAACTGTTGCTACCATCTTTCATTCTTTTCCATTAGTCTTTCAGCAACACCTATTCATGTTTCCATTATAATCTATGTAGCTTTGTCTCTTGCTTTTCCACATTAGTTTCAATGGTCACAAGCACCTGTCAGACCTTTCTAGTGACTGCAGCATATGACCCCTGCTAGTGGACCCATCATCCTGTAGTTCATCGCTCCCTTCCTGTTTCAGCGTTGAGCTGGCTTCCAACATGCGCCATGATGAATAGTACTGCAATGCACATGTTTCTGCAGAGAATTTGTTATTTCCCTTGATTATTTTTGAATCGATGATTCCCAAGGGATGGGGGAAGTCTGTGAAAATATGTGAACATTTGTGTGACTTACATGTTTTGCCAAATTGCTTCTCCATTAGGTGGTGTGCTTTCCACTGCCATTTGTGACACTATGTAGATGATGTCACCTCATCTCCCCAACACTGGAATGTCCTAAAGTGTCAGATGGGGGAACTGAAACCCTTAGAGGGTAGTGCTTTTCCCAAGGTCATGAGCCAGCCACTGCCGCCCAGATCCCTGTGCTCAGACTAGAGTTCGTGGCACTCATAGCCAGTCTGTGCCATGTTAATTTTGGCTGAATTCTGGAAGGTGCTGTGTATACCTAACTCTATTTCTAGCTAAGATGACCAACTGTCCTGGTTTGTCCGGGACTGATAGTGTTCCTGAAATGCAGAGCTTTCAGTATCAAATGAGGAAAATGCTGGTAAACCAAGATGAGTTGGTCACCCTACTACTTGCACCATTCAGGCTCAAGTGAGCTATCAAGAGGTAAAGTGACTGTCCTGCTCATGGAGGGACACTGGGACCCCCACCATGTAAAGGAGGGGGTAAAGAGCGCTGTGTAGCAGAGTGGTTCATGATCTAGGTGGCTGGAGTTTGACTCTCAGTAAATGCACTTTCCAGCCCTGGGAGTCTGAGCAAGCTACTTAACCTCTTGGTGCATCGTCTGCAAGGTACAGCCACAACAGTCTGCACCTCCTAGTGTGATTCTGGATTAAATGAGTTTGTATAGAGCACTTGGAATAGCAAGGGTTAGCTGCTATGATTATGAGGAAAATACAGCTTGCCCAAGAACCTCATAACCTAGTTGTTGTAATTCTTTCTGCTTCCTCCTCAAATGTCTTGGCCCAGTCCTCTTGGTGTCTGAGAAAAAAAAAGTCCTACGATCTTCTGAAGAGGCATTTTGCTGAACCTGAGTAGTGGTTTTGGAACTCTTTGCTGTACAATCAGAAGGTGTTGGCTCCAGAGAAGCAACAATTTTGAGGCACATGGGATATCATGGGGGTTCCCAGCCATCTAGAGCAGGTGAGTTCCTGGTACAGGTAGGGTGGGAGATAGAGAGGAGCTGGGAATGATCCCACTCAGGTGAATGTGAGTGCCCTCCTTCCCCATGGGCAACACAGATAGGAGTGAGCACTCCAAAGTGAGTGACTCACATTCCAGGAGGAAGAGCCACATAGAGAGCAGGTCTGTGTGTGCTGAAGGAGAGGGGTGTGGGGGCGAAGGGCCCCAAAAGACAGGACTGGCTGCCTGTGCTTCATGAGGCTGTAGGAGGGCCTCAAGATGGGTTTAATGCTCTACTGTTACCATTTTGAAACTCTTAATAGTTTTTGAACAACAGCCTCTTGTTTTCATTTTGCTCTGGTCCTCAAAATGAATGGAGCCTGTCCTGCAGGAAGGTGAGATTTCCCAGAGTGGGGAGGTCAGTGAGGCCCGGGGGAGAAGCTGAGATGCTGAAAGCTCTAGGCTCTGTTTATAGTGGGAGAACACTCGTTGTGGAGGGTTAAGAATTTGAGTAGGACCTCACCAATGATGGTGAAGAAGCAGCCAGCGCCCAAGTCCTAGATGAGACCACCATTAGGCAGTGAGGTCATCGTTTCTAGAACAAAAAGAAGCTGCAGACCAGACAGCAGGCAGCAGGGATTCCTGAAAGGGTCTTTGTTTCCTGGCTCGGCCCAGGCATGGTGAGCTACAAGCAGTCTTGGTGCCTTTTGCCTCTTGCTCTGAGTACAGATTCCCAAGGGAACAAGTCTAGTGTGGCCACAGGGTGAGGTCCACAATGTGGTCTAGACAACGCTGATGGAACATGAGTTTGGGCTGGCCTGGGTTCATGTGGGAGTAGTTCTTCTGGCGGCATTAAGACCTGGCTTAGAATCTCACCTCTGCTTAAGCATCGTCAACTCTTTGAGCTTCAGTTTCCTTACTGGTACATCGTTAGGGAAACCAAAATACCAAACTCACTGGGTCATTATGAAAATCAAGATGATAAGAATACAGATCGACCTACCTTGTATGGTATCAGGCACAGAATGCTCAGGAATCCTTCACAGTTGTTATTCAGCATGTCCCAGGAGCCCTCAAAGGGAAGTGTCATCAACTTGGAGAATTTACTGCTGTCTAGATCTGGCCTTCAGCCTGGTAGGCTTAGGCTAGTTTCCTGTGTGCTTGGAGGATCACCTCTTCCTTGGGAAAATCCCATTTCCAAAGCCCACCAGGCTGACCAGGGCATGGCTAGGGTGTCCTCACCACAGGGAGGGGCCAGCTCACCCACGCCTGAGACAGTGGTGTGAACAGGGGGAGGGGGCTGAGAGCAGGAGCTAAGGCACACTGTGTCCTCTTGGGCCCTGTTGGTACATTCCGGCTCTAGGTCTTAGACACATTAAGCTTCCCCCCTGGAATATCCTGGTGCAGAGCAGGGAGTGGCAGTGTAGCCCAGAGCATCCCAGGCCAAGAGCAGACCAAGTTTTCTCATTGCTGGACAGAGCTGAACCAAATGGCACCATTTGCCAAGCCCCTGTCACTTTGACAGAGCACTTGGAGATGCCCTGGGCCAATTCTCACTTTGCAGAAGGAGCAGAATGCTTGTTGGAGTGGCGATCTTCATCGCTCTATAGATGGTCAGGTGGGAAGAAATAACCTGCCTTTCAGGAATTCTGGTTTGATGTATGTTAGGACTTCTCATGGTATCCTTCTTGTCACCTAATCTTTTTTTCTTACATTTTCTGTCAATTTACTATGTTTCCAAACTTGATTTATCATTTTTAATGGTTTATTGTGTCTTCCTCATATTTTAAAGACGATTTCTTTAAGCATATGAAACATACTTATTTTGTGTTGTTTTGATAATTTCAATGTTTGAATCTTTATGACCCTGACTCCAGTACACGAGGTGTTTGCTGGCTTTCACTTATGGTGCCTCGTTCACTGCTTGTGAGATTTTTGACTGTGAACTTATTTTTTTTTAAACTTTATCTGTGGGAAGACTTTGGAGGTGAGAGGGGTTGGGATAACCATGTTACCCTTTATGGGATGCCCCTCTTTTGGCGATTGAACTCTCGAATGAAGTCTGGTGACACTGTTTCTTCTTTATTCCTGTAGCAGTATCAATGGCTTCCCACTTGTTGTTAGTTTGTAGGTACCCCAACCTTCCTTGTTTGTTCACTTAGTCTTACTTTGCAAATAGTCCTGTCTTTGAAAAGTCTCTTTGAAAATCTCAACTGAATATATCACCTGTTTCTTGCCAGGCCCTGTGTTGTACAGTCTATGTAAAGCAAACTCAGTAAATAGTAGTTAATATTATAATTGTGGAGACCAGTTTCTATTGAGAGAATCTTCCCAGTAATTCAGGCCAAAATAATTATGATTCCAGGGGACAAAAGTGCTTCAAAACAGATCTGCCCAAGCACCGTGGAATGAGAGAAAAGCTGTCCTTCTATAAGCCTCTCTCAGCCTCTCTGAGGAAGCCATAAGCTCCTCCCTCAGGACGTTGCCACCGAAAGCCCCTTTCAGGCCCGTTCTTCCCATCATCACCTTTCCTCCACACTTCCCTCTTCTTACCTTGCAGTTCTACAAAGTGAGGGAGGTGCAGAGCTGCCACGGCTCCTGGATCAGCCTTGATATCAAAAAGAGGTCCTGCAACCATCCAACTGTGCTGTATGGCAGTCTTGTTTAGGAACTTGTCCCAGGCACAGAATTCAATCTCAATGGTCACTGGCCATCTCACCACAAAGCGGAGACCCATGTTGGAGCAGTAGTGGGGGCCAGCGACAGGGAAGTGAACTCTGGGGAGAACAGGGAGAGGTAGACGCTGAAATATTCTACGTAAATTCACTGAGCACTTACCTACTGGATGCCAGACCCCATGCAGGCCATTGCAGATGCATAGAATGGCTGCAAGCTCAGATATCATAGAGGACTTTGGGTTTCAGTTCAGGCCCCAGTGCTCTCTGACTATGGAACCCTGAGCAAGTCATTGGACCTCCCTAATCTCAGTTTCCTCTTCTGTAACTAAGAATAATAACAGTACCATCTCAAAGAGTTGTGAGTAACAAGTGACCTAATGTATGCTGGCTGCTTAATACATGCCAGGAGGTAGTTAGCTGGTTCCATAATGATGATGATAATAATGAAATAAGAAAGTATTCTTGTTTTTAAAGGGCCTATTTGCCAATAATTACCAACAACTTACATGTTATTATTAATGGTAAACCCTTGGAGCTCAAAACAACACTTTACAGATATATAAGTGACTTTTCCAAGGTTCCCCATGGAGTTAATGGAGTCTTGAGATGTCAGCTTCTGTAGATGTAATTTGGGAGTAAATTTATCTCCCAGCAGAGATAATGTTTGAGACAACAAATGGCAGCACGTTGTATATAAGATCATGATTATGGTTATGGACACTTATTACTTATGATGGTGAAGGCTGCTATATTCATCTCAGGGCTCCCCGTTATTGGTAAGGTACTTAGCACATAGTGGAAAATAATAAAACAGGAGCATATAAATGGATAAAGATTTAAATGAGATTTACAAGTCATAACAAACTAAATACAACAAAGTGGGCTTTGGATCCTGATTGGGACAAACCACGTGCAAGCACAGTTTAGACAAGTGAGCATGTCTGAATACAGACTGGGAATCAGATGACAGGAAAGGCTATTGTAAA